GTAATCAATAAACCACATCACAGCGTCTCGGCGGAGTTATATTTGGGAAATCATGCAAATGCTCTTAGCTTTTTGTGCGGCTAATCAATGCGTGGCCCTGCAGCCTCTCATTGATGACGCTTTGTTTGGGGAATTATATATAGAGCGGCTCACTAATGTGTGCCGCGTTGCTTATTAGTAAACAAAACGGGCAAGCAAAGTTGTTCGTATTAAATTGAAATTCACAGTTTGTTGCTTTTTGTTGTCATTATAAACCCCTAAACGGCCAGCCGCAGCCATTCCTAAAGACAATTTCGGATAACGGTACGCTCATGATTTTGACAAATGCTGTAATGTGACCGACGCTCAGTGATCAAATATCAGCCAAATCGATAACACTTAAAGCAGATATATGAACCTCTCACCTGATTCTGAGTCTTTTAAGCTATTAGCATGCTTTAGTGGATACATAAATAGATAAGAACGACAAAAGGGTGGAATGGCTCATTCAATTTTGTGAAAATGATCACATTTCTGAGGGTCTCCCACTATATACGATGTTGATCGGCCATAACATTATGACCACCTCTCTCACATGGTATTGTGTGATGCTTTCTGAGTATAGATGCTAAAGCTGGGATCTCCACAGGTCAGACTCACCTGCCAGTTATGTATTTGACTGAAAAAACACCTTGGACTTGTTACAAACCTCCATTTTTTAAACTTCTGTCTGTGCTGCCACGTGCTAAATAAATAACACGTGGGAAGTGCTTGGTCAGCGAAAATGATCCCGTAAAATGAAACGCACCCGTCGGTGGCTTCCACCTGCATGACGGGACCTGCCCAGTGCATCACGCTGCCTTTCTTGTTGAGATGCCGTGACCCCACTGACTACAGCTTCCACAAACAGAATAAAATAGCACAAATAGCCAGGGAGGCCGTTTTTTTTTTTTCTCTGCTGTCAGCGCATCATTTTTAACGACCGGGTGTACGTTTGCTGTCGGATGTACAGCCCACGCGTTGCCAGGTGCCCCGAATCAGTGGGAAAGCAAAGCTGAGGCTAAGTGAATACCTGCGAAGCTTTGCAACAATTTGTCAAAGAAAGAAAGAAAATGTATTCACAGATGGAATCTTCTTTGTGCGCATAGCAAAAAAATCGACTCCATCCAAGGCTAAAATCAACATTTCTCCACACTCTGGAGAGTGTAAGGTTAATAAACTTTAGGCCCAGCTTTCAACTACACAAAAGAAATTATCCCTGCACCTCCAAACGTCAGACTTTAAATGAAATAAACTCTGGACGGGTAAGGCAAACCGTTTTTCCCGCCTCCGAGCCTGAAATGTAATAAGTGTTTCTCTCTCTCCAGGGGCTGGAGGCTGGTCCCCTCTCGTCTCAGACGAGTACCAGTGGCTTGAGGTGGACTTTGGCGAGCGCACAAAGGTCGCCGGCGTGGCCACGCAGGGCCGCTACGGCAGCTCCGATTGGCTGGCGTCCTACCTGCTGATGTTCAGCGACACGGGACACAACTGGAGGCAGTACAGGCAGGAGGACAGCACCGGGGTGAGGCCCGAAATGCCCAGAATGTCCAAAATGAAGTAGTATTAAGCAGTATTTTTCCCCAACAGGACTCAGAAGAAGCTGAGAGAAGGCTCATGTTGAAATGAGCCTGTACAGATGTCACATTTTTATGGTCGCGTTTACAGGGGCGCCAGACGTATAAAACTGCTCACACATCTGTTTTGCGAAGCTGTGCGTGCGCAGAATGACGAATTCACACACACACACGTGCAGAAAAACGCCACGAATCAGCACCTGAAAGCGACAGCGGAGGCGTTTCGTTCCGTTCACGGGAAAATAATTCTGGCGATTTAAAACTGAGTTTGTCGCAATAGACACGAGAGAAGCGCACGTACACAAAGACGGTGTTGGCAGCTTCTGCTTTATCTGCAGCTGATGGATGTGTAGCACAGCCTGCGCGCCAATGCAGAGGTTACACACACACACCAACACACACAAAAAGACACACACAACACCAACACAAACACACACAAGATGCTAATCTTGTGCCAGAAAAATCAATGTGGTCTCTGCTCTCTTTTGAAAGCCTTATTAGCAAAAAAAAAATCCCCAGCCTTTATGCACGACTGTGACATATAGACGACATTATTTAAAGTGCACTCGATTGATTTAGAGTGCATTATGAATTTAACGTTAATCAACAAAAAATCTGGGAACAAAGACAGGGGGTTGTGCCAAAAGCGGGATTATCGAAAGAACGTCGGTTTATTGAAACAAAGCAAAAAGGGGCTGCTGAGGCAGAATCAGGAAACCAAGACGGGAAATAAAAGAAGTAATTAACAGAAACAAAAGGAACAAACTGGCTGACTGACGACTGAACAAAGGAACGCACGGAGGAAACAACTATGTTACGTACAGAGGAAGACATCAATGAACTGGCAGGGAGCAACATGTGCCGAGGGAGTGTGTGTGTGTGTGTGTGTGGGGGGGGGAGGGGGAGGCTGTAACACAACAGCATACTCATGGGCTCCAACTCTGTTAAACAAAAACAAGATGCAAAGAAATCAAAGAACAAAAAAGCAAACCGAGAAACCAAAGTCAAACAGAAACGAACAGAGCGTAAAGCGTTTTTCCATTAAGTTCTGCCAAACCGCTAAAAAGATGTTCCATGGATGTGTGAGGAGCCAATGAGACGCTCATATTGCGGCCTACATCCTTTGTGCGTCCTCTGACCTCTGAGCTGAACGGAGCCGCTCTGCTGAGATCAGCCCCGTCCCGCTCAGATAATCACAGTCATCAGGAGCCTTTGACTCTTCATTAATAATGGATGGACTGTTCAGAGAGCTCTGCTGAGTGCGCTGACCTGTTGCCAGAACACTTGAGGCTGTTGTTGACGGACGCGGGGGGGGGGACGCAGCCTGGAGGGCCGCCAGCGGGAGATTAAAACGCAGAGCTGGGGTGATTTATGTACATGTTCGGGCCTGTCAGCAGAACAAACAAGGTGACTGGAAATGGCCTTTTTTTTCCCGGTCGGGTATCTATCCGGTGAACATGCTCTAGAGGTGTCGGACATCTTGCCCAGCGGCTGCAACCTGTAATCTCTGTGAAATCCAAAGTTTGAATAAATCTCTTTAGATTTTGTAATGGAGGGTGTGAGACACACCTTTCCCTGATTATAAGTGGATGGAATAGTTCGATTTGAGCATCTGGTATGAGGATTTTGAACCTTTGAATATATTATGCTCCTTTGCTGAGTTAGCAGGTCACTTAACAGGTGATTTGTCTTTATTTTGTTTAAAATATTTCACCATTCAGAGTCCCCCGAAAACGCTGGGATGTCGTGTAAAATGTCAACACAATCTGAATGCGATGGTTTTCAATTTATGCAATCCAATGTTTTATTTACAACGGAACGCAGCAAAACAAACAACGCCCCATGTTAGACATTTACCATTTCATGGAAAAATGTTGGAAGGCAAAGACAGTAGCGCATCTCAAACAGCTCCTCACACAAACATATTCATCACCTGAGAGCAGAGGCTGCCTTCGAATAAAACTCACACACGACCTCTGAATCAGATGCAGGAATCCCAGTGAACAGCACACCAGTAAAAATATGGTTACTGACTCTGTCGTGTTCCTTTTCTTGCGCATTTAGACCCAAACAGACAGCCCAAACTGCACCGAGCTCCAGACACAAACAGACACGTTTGCGTACGAGCAGCTCTGCCAGCTCTGCTCTCATTATCGCAGAGGAATTAATAAGTTAATTATGTGTCAAAGATTGTTCGGCAGTGTGAAAGCCAGTTAACCCGCATGCCTGCTTCAAGGGTGGCTTGTAATTATGATAGATAACTGCACGGAAGTGATGGGAGATAATGCAGGGGAGCCATTCGTCATGCAACGAGCACAAAGTCTAAAAGTGAACAGAGATGTTGTGAAAAAAACATCTTTAACTTTTGGGTGTGCCTTCCAAATGAGAGATTCAACTCAAATCTGAAATACTCGCAGAAGTTTGGAAAGAAATGATTTGTTTGGATGCCAAAGGGTAACCAAATACAAGAATCTGTCTCAAGCATAACCAAACATGTTGCTAAATCCAGGCCTGGATCTGAAATGGAAGAAGCTAATGACCAAGCTAATGACCAACAAAAATCAGCAAACTAGACGCTAACTTCAGTAGCTTGTCAACAATAGTGTCAGTAAAATCGATTTAGTTAAAGCTTGTTTTGATAGTCAACATAGTAGTTCAAATAGAAAGAAAAACTGCCTAATGCATTATCGCAAATTGAACATTAGTATACTTGGAATTTAGTCAATTACATTTGCAGATTAATGATAGAAGGGGTCCAAGGGTGGACCCAGATGCGGAGAGTGAGGATCAGAGGGGTTTATTTGAACAAAAAACGCACTCAAATGGAGTGGTTGAATAGACAAATTTCAAATAAGGCAGACATGACTATGAACAAAGTATCAAAGCAAGATTAACATGGCTGTGAACAAAGTATTAAATCAAGTAAACAAGACTATGGCAAAAGTATCAAAACAAGATTAACAAGACTGTGGCAAAAACAAGACTGTGACAAGGTGCAAAAATCAAAATCTTACGAAGCAAAAAACCCAAAACTCAAAAACACTATTTGACTATTTAAACACATGAGGGAGGGGAACCCCAGGTGTACACAATAGGTAATCAAGACATGAAAACACACCAGACATTCCCCCAGACGTGACAAGACCGACCATAAAAGAAAAAGCAAACTAACGTTAACTGACTGCAGTCCATTCCCAGCATCTTTTTTTTGTGGTTCCAGTCTTTTCCAGGCAACAGTAATGCGGACAGCGTGGTCCAGTACAAGCTGCAGCAGCCGGCCGTGGCCCGCTTCCTCCGCCTCGTCCCTCTGGACTGGAACCCCAGCGGCCGCATCGGCCTCCGCCTGGAGGCCTACGGCTGCCCCTACAGTGAGTTCTGCCTTCTGACTGAGATCTTGGATTAAAAGGGGTCTACACATAAAGTTGAACTTGCGTTTGGTGTCTGTCCTCCTCCAACAAAGCCCTCACCAGTCTCTCATTAGTCTAACGCCAAAGTGGAGTCGAGCTGCCAGCACTGGGAGTGCTTTTATGGACCTTTAGGTAACCAGACGGTGGAAAGCGTTAGCAAAAAGCTGCTGGCTTTTGGATATTCTGTAAAAGAACATCACGCCTGCTCCAATAAACATTCACAGTCAGTTGCTCCTCTTTTATGATTCGGTTTATGGAAAGTTTATGCTTTTTATGCCTCCGCGCACACACACACACACACACACACACACACAGACGGATTCACATCGCTGAATCTCATTATCTGTTACGAACTTCTGCAGTTCTCTACAGCGAATGTATGTTTGTTTTTTTTTACTTTTTTAAACCTGTCTACTTTTGAATGTTTAATCGCGCACGCGTTTTCATGGCCACGGAGCTCCGACCGCTCGCTCTGTTTGATGTTTGCAGCCTCCGACGTGCTGAGTTTGGACGGCGGCGGCGGTGGTGGTCTGGTGTACAGGCTGAGTCCCGGGACTAACCCTAACCCGGCGCCCGGAGATGTTTTGGCTCTGAAGTTTAAAACCCCGAGGAACCGCGGAACGCTGCTGCGGCTGGAGGCCAAAGATGGACGGCTTCTGAGTTTGGAGTTAGAGAGAGGAAAACTACAGCTGCTGCTCAGAAAAGGTAAAGATGGGCTCTGGTCTTCATATATGCTGTACTGTACTATAACCCTTTAGAGCCTGATCCAAGAAAAATAAGAATAATATTGGATTTGTTTAGTCTGAAGTCTTTCTTTGGCCCATCGACAACATATGAAGAAAAAAAAAACTGAAATTATTTTGATCAAATTAGCTTGCAATAAGTCAAAAATACATTTCCGTGTAGTCTTCTACTGGCTGTTATCAGGTATATCTGAATGTGTACAACAGGGGTTTGAGCAAAGCTTTTACCACTGAATGATGCAAAAAGTCTCAGATCCAAAAGACTTCAGAAACCGTATGTATCAAATATGATACATTTGGCATTATAGGGATAATGATGCACGGGAAGGGGTTTGTTATAGACAGCTTTTAGTTAGAGGGTTGGTGGTGTGTATATAGATAACATAAGACTAATCTTAATACCACAGCAAATAATGGGTATGGGGGGCCCAAAGTCTGTCCTCCAGGGCTGGTCTACCTGCTTCAGCATGCCTGATTCATGTCAGCTTTCCATTATTAGGCTTGTGCAGAGCTTTTGAACTGATTAATTTAATCAGAAACATGTGCGTTGAAGCAGGGAAAGCTCCAAAAACCTGCAGGGCAGCAGGTCTGGGGCTGGACAACCTCGTTTTAGGCTATGTCTGGAACATGGCCGCCTTAATCCAATATGGTGGCTTTCAAAATGGCTGCCACGGGCCGCCTCACAACTCCTCTGCCTCACTTCCAGCCACCACTGGTTTAAAAAAAAGTGTTTTAAAAAGTACGATTTTTAAACCACGTTTCCATATTTTGCCGCAAAATATCCTAATTTAAACTCTGGACAGTTCTCACTGGGCGAGATGGCCAACTTCCAGTCCAAGTCCTCATGGTTTAGATCCTGATGCCCGCTCTGGTGCGCAGCCTGGTCTCATTACAGCATGATGGATCGCACCCATTGGCCGCAGCATGTGTTAACGCTGGACTCTGCAGGACTTGAGGGATGCCAGGTGTTCGTGTGTGTGTGTGCATGTGTGTAAATGGGGTTAAACCAGAGGTTGTCAGGTTGCCATGCTGAATCATCACCATCTGGCACACATCTCACCAGAAGCCCCATCTGGCCCGGGAAATACTTTATCATCATATTAATCTCAGTTCCCGCCTTCTTAATCATCCAGAGCACTCCTTCCACTTCTGGCTTTTTTCTTAACTTTCCCCTCCGTCTGGATGTCAGCTTTTGGTTGCAATAAACTTCAACAATGGATATCTTTCATGCTTATGTGACAGACATGTCTAAATATGTTTGCCTGTGTGATTGTGAGTCAGAATGAGGAAATTCGCTGGAAATAATTCCAGAAAAGCTGAGCAAATGTGCAGATTCAATTGTTCAAATAGCATAAACCCCAATGAAATAGTTGTATCTTAAACAGAACTGCCAAATTTGTCTGTGTCATTATTTATTTTCCTCCTTTTAGTCTTCCAGACTATTTGAATATTCTATCACAAAGTTAGCAAAAGAACCAAACAAAAGTTTGCAAAAAGAATTAATTCATATTTGAGCTGACAAAGTGAGAAATGACAGCTCGGTATTTTGTAGGTGTTTGCTCATCTGTTTGCTGGTTTTTCAGTCACTTAGAAGTTGTAATTTGTCAGCTTTTCTTTTTCTTTTTTCGCAGGCTTATTTGCTTTTGCGCTGAAGGACACACGGAAACACACACAACACAAACAAGGCCTCTGGTGACACAACTCGAAAAGATTAGCGTCTCTCTTTGAATTAGAAAAATCTGTATCTGTCTATTTTGGCTTCTATTTACTCTGAATGGGTTTGTTTTCTTGTTTTCTTCTGTGGCTCCAATGTGACTTTGATCATCAGTCTCAGACGCATTCTTATTGGTTTAGCAGGAGATGCATCTTGCATTAACTTGTCCCGTGTTATCTTTGGTCTTACATGGGTCATCTTATGTCACAATTCATTGATTTACTACTCTTTTATGTTCACTTATGACTTGTATGTAGCATAGGATACCACTGGCTTTAGCTGCATGCTTCTGGGGGGGGGGGGCAGGTTTTGCTCTTCATTTAAAAAAACGCCCTGTATGTGCTCTTTTGGACTTGAGGAGAAATTTCTCAAACACAGAGGGAGCGCAGTTCTTTTTTCTGTGAAGGACACAATTATTCCACCGTGTAATTTCTCTAGGAAGAGCCGGCTGCTTTTTCTGTCTGGCTGGCTGCTGAACTTTAATCTTTAAGTGCTCACCGGTTTTAAATGCAAACGGCAGACGGCTGGGTCCTTCACTTTGAGTAAAAGCATCTGCTAAATGTCGCGTTGTTCAGGGTTACGCTTCCGATGCTCGTTCCGATCACAAAGTGGCGAGTCGGAGCTGGGAGTCGCATCGGTTTTTCAACCTTGAGAATGATACCAGCGAAAGAGCTTGCGTTTGCAGTGTGAGATGCGTGCTTTTTGTTTTTGTTTGTCTCCAATAAGAAAAGGAAAATTAGAAGTCTAGTTGCAATTCGTCAGACTTTAAAGTCGGTGCCTTTGTTTTTGTTTTTTGACTTTTCAGGACATGATTCTCCGAGTGGTCCTCACACTCACATGTTCTTCATGGTTTTTACATGGTCTTTGTGCAGCCTTAAGATTACAAAGTTAAAACCTCCTAAGTAAAGCCACCCAAAAAGTCATTATAAGCTGACTGTAGCTCAGCGAGACGAGATTAAAACGGTCCGCCGAAATGAGGAGCGAACTTAAAACGCCTCTGAAAGTCCTGGAAGCATCAAAGGATTCCTTTTATTGCTTTTTTCCTCGGCTTCTCTCTCAATATTCTAGTTTTTGTTTGGCTTCCCATATCTCTCACATCAGAGGAGGTCATTTCCATTTCTTTTTTTTCCCCCCTCTCTCTCTTTCACATCAGTCTTTCTCTTTCATATTGGATTTTGGTCCATTTACACATCAGTCACTTATCTTTCTATATATTTTTTTTTAATCTGGTCCGTTGATTTTTAAGTCACAGAGTGTGTTATTTTATTCAGCCACTTTGTGCGTCCACCCTGAGCTCACGCCAGCACAGGTTCAGTTTGCTTTGTGGGGCAGAAGCCAAAATCTGAAAAACAAGGCGGCTACTAAAATTTGGGCCTGTTGATGTTGGTCAGAGTGAAGCATCACATGTAGCTTCTGCCCAGTTTCTATGATTAATTTCTGCCTTTCCGCACCTTTTTTGAGCTTTCATCTTTGTTTCGTTCATTCTATTTTATTATTTTTTTAATTAATACATAATTGTATAGTTATTCAATTCACCACTGTTTCTGGTTAGATTTAAAGCCAGATAATTAATGTATGATAAAGAGTTTTACTTTTTTATCTGAAGGGATTTGTCTCTTTACCTGTATCTATAATGTATCTATACCTTTATGTATACTTTTTATTTTTTATCATGATGTAATTAACTCTGAAGGGATAATGGATAAAGTCCTTCTGGTTTCCTCGAATCATTTCTTCACAAAAACTTGCGGAATCTGACTTAATGTGGAGCTATAGAAAAATTGAAAATCAGCTCATGATTCCCTATAAACGTTCAGCAGAAGCTGCAAGAATGAAACATCTAGTTTGACCTCCAAAAACTGGGATAAAATACCCTGATACCATTAACAGTTTTCAATCTTTGGAGAATCCGCTGAGTGAGCTGGCTCCTGCTCAGCATCGGCCTTATCTCGCATGCATCCACCACCACCTACTGATTCTGCAGATCCTCCAGCAGAGACTTATTCTGCACACTGATGTTCAAAATCTGAGAGGGCTCTGATTTTTTTCTTTTACACCCCGTGAACTTTCTTTTGTGGTAGCGTCACGCTGCTATTTGCAGCCTCTCACATCCACCGACATGTTTTTATGTTCACATTTTCTCTGCAAAAAAAAAAAAATCAGGATTCCGTCGGGAGGCAGCTTATTGATTTTCAGTGGCCCCCCCGTCTCTGTTCCGATAATATTTCGGTTCGTGGACGCACGACTGTGAACAACGTGGAGCTTTTTCCAGTGTGCTCTTACTCACGTTCGTAAACCTGCCCTTCGTATTTCCTTCTGGTGCTTAAACAAAAAACGTGGAGCATAATAAAGCCCAGCAGAGCTTCACCGCATCAGGGTTCCTAGTTTGATTCCTAAGTCTTTCCACCTTTCCTGGTTTTCCACGTCCCCTCCTGGGACTTAGACTTGAGAAACATGCATGATGGGTGATCTGTGTGATAATTAACTCATTGACTGGCAGCCATTTTCAGAACAGAGTCACATACTGCCAGAGTTTTTTGAGCATTTTGACTGATTTTTCAAGAGCCACAGAATAGTTTGTGCTATGACTATGTAAACACCGAACACACCAAAAGAAAGAGTAGACTCTCTTCTTTCATCAGGAAAAAAAATTTGTTTCTACCTTATTCCGTTCTTCCTCGACTTGCGTCTCACCGGCGACATTTCTCTCATAGCGAACCGTTACCTTTTTCTTATTTGCCTACAGTCTATGCTCATCTCCCATCAAAAGTGGCACTGCCCCCTAGAGGGTCAATTTGTTAGTACATACTCTGTCTAGAAGCCGATATTTACGGAAAAGCTTTAGCAGATCGTCCCCCAGCCACTCTCGTTGAAAAACATAAAAGACGTCTATAGACGTCTTTGGCAGCCAATGAGTTAAACGCCATAATGGGTGTTTTGTGTGCTATTTGTCCGTGTGTGGCCCTGGGAGGGATGGCGTTGGCCTGACGGCAGCTGGGATACGCTGCAGCCTCCCCTGCAACCACGAATTTGATTAAGCAGGTATAGAGAGCAGATGGGTGTATACACACACACACACCCCGAGAAGTGGAGAAATAAAGTGCCGTGCGCTTTATTTATTAATATAACTTCATTCTCTTTGCTCCTAGACCGCTCGTATTGATTCCAGCTTTCTCTTTTCAGCCATTCAGATTGTAATCAAATCATGTCTACAGTCCAACACACTCTTCCTGTTTTGACTACCTCTACTACATAATAGTTGCCGTATTAATGTTATTTGCCGTGTGCGTGACTTACCTCTTCCATTGATTGCAATCAAACGCACCGACTTTTTCAGTCTGGCTGTAGTCGCTTTTTCTTTTTCAAACAGAAGTAAAAATAAGATGTTTATCAGCATAACACAGACGTCTTCCTGCTCCCAAACTTTGCTTTTTTTTTTTTTTTTCCCCCCGTCTGAAGCTGAAATCGTCGTTCCCTTATGAAAATCTAATACATTTTTAATGGCTTATTGTATCCTGCCCTTTTCTATTCCTCCGTCTCTCAGCAGAAAGTTTCTGTCTGGGTTCTGTGGGGAATGCAGAAAATCCATCCACAACTTTGGGCATGTTTGCCGCTCATCTATCATTAATGAAGCCCCGCCGTGCAGCTTTTCCATGTCGGAGAACTCCGGCGTTCGGTTTTTCAACTTTCCGACGCCTTTCCGAGGCCGCTGTGACACGGGAGGGGCCGACCTCCCGGTCACCCTCCCGGCAGGACGCAGACAGAAAGGAGAATATTCAGAGTGGCAGGCTCCAGGTTTTTGTTTAGCTAAAGACTGTTTTTGTTTTCCCCGTCTTTCCTCCAGGCGGGAGTCCGTCCTCTGAACCCCGACACCTCGCCTCTCTGGGCAGTTTGCTGGACGATCAGCATTGGCACCACGTGGCGCTGGAGTGGCGCGGCCTCCATCTAAATCTGACCGTGGACAAACACGCGGAGAGGGTTCGGATCCCCGCGGGGCTCAGCGACGGGGATGTGGAGCAGGTTTGAGAAATCACACGTGGAAAATGGAAGAAAGAAACCGCAAAAGACCCATGAACAAAAGATTAACTCATTGACTGCCAGCCATTTTCAGAGTCCCATACTGCCAGAGTTTTTTGAGCATTTTGATTGATTTTTCAAGAGCCACAGAATAGTTTGAGCTATGACTATGTAAACACCGAACACACCAAAAGAAAGAGTAGACTCTCTTCTTTCATCAGGAAAAAATAAATTGTTTCTACCTTATTCCGTTCTTCCTCAACTTGCGTCTCACCGGCGACATTTCTCGCATAGCGAACCGTTACCTTTTTCTTATTTGCCTACAGTCTATGCTCATCTCCCATCAAAAGTGGCACTGCCACCTAGAGGGTCAATTTGTTACTACATACTCTGTCTAGAAGCCGATATTTACGGAAAAGCTTTAGCAGATCGTCCCCCAGCCACTCTCGTTGAAAAACATAAAAGATGTCTATAGACGTCTTTGGCAGCTAATGAGTTAACCTGATCATGTTTATATTTAGTCTCATGTAAATGCAATCCGCTGTAACTGCCCCTCGTTGTGTCCGTTTAGCTGAGCGTGGGGTCCGTTCAGGGGTTCGGCTCCAGCCAATCAGACGTCTCAAAGAGGAGCTTCCATGGCTGCCTGGAAAACCTGCTGTTCAATGGTCTCAACCTGATAGAGCGAGCTAAACAGGAAGACGGCAAAGTCACAGTGGTGGTAAGATTCCTTTTTTTCCCCATAAACACACCAGTGGCTGACAACAGGGAGTAGGGGGTGAAGTCAACCAACAAAGCCAGACCAAAAAACCCCATGAAAACGCACAACTCATGACATGTGAGTGATGAAATTGAGAAGGACTTCCAGGAGGAAAATCAGACAAAACAGAAGCGATTACAAATGCTAATGAAAATCGAGATTTATCTGATTATGTTCCTCACACTCTGATCGGTTAAAGTAATTAAATAAAGGAAATTAGAATCAAATTGCAGAAGAAAACACTGACTTGATTGATGACTGATACTAATAAGATCTGAACAGGTTATTCCATATTCAAACAAACCGTTTCCGTCCAATATAGTGATGATTCAGAAAACATAAACCTATAGCTGCCTTTTGTTGGAACACGAACAGAAAAGCCAGCAAAGGCAACATTTCTTGGACGTGTTTGGGTTTGTTGGCTTCGAGTAGAGCGTCATAAATACAGAAACATGTGGACTCCTACATGTATGATTCTCACTGGCCATTCGAACCCAAACAGAATATTCCTTTTGGTCATTTTTTATCATATCCTAACCAATTATTTAACCCGGCACACACATGTAACATTAAGCAGAATGTGTGTCTTTTAACGTTATATGTCGGCCTTTTTTTTAATACTGGTCATTATGGTTATTATTTCCAATGTGCTTGTCCTGCTTTGGGAGCAAAAGCTTCTCTCATTAAAGCCTTACAGCGGCTGCTTTTTAACGTTGGGCTGGTTTTTATATAGTCAAAACAACCGAGGACAAAGCAGTTAGAGTCTGGCCGATTCCCCCCCACGCCTTGGCCATTAGGATCTTCAGAGCTTTCCACGGGCGTATTAAGAGGAGCGAACATATTGAGGCGACGCCGTAAAGTGCCTCAGCAGGGAGGGATAAACGCCCCGTCGTTACCGGGAGCAGGAGCAAACGTAAACTTCTCGAGAAGTTGCTCGGAAATTTATTATGGTGGCCGCGTTAGAGAGGCACAGAAGGTACTTGCTGCAAAGTTATGGTTGCATTTACGACGGAGGCTGCACGGTGCTCTTAGGGCCTCTGCGAGGAGGAATCCACGCCAAGAAGCTAAGAGTGGGGGCGGAGAAGTACTTGTGGTTTTCAAAGATAACTTCTTTTTTCTTTTTTCTTTGTTTCCGTTGGGCAGGAACGTAGCCTGTTCCGGCATGAATTATTGCGCATCCCCTTTAAGTGCGCCGCAAAGGGCTTTTTAGATGTCTTCTGTGTTTTTTTCGAGCATTGTTAAGCTAGCGGGCCGCGTGGGGACCGTGATGTATGGCCGCGGCCGCCGTGTCACCAGCAGCCCTTTCGCACAATGGACCTGAACACAGATGTGCAGATACTGGCCGTCGGGTCTCCTCCTCTCATTTTCATTCTTTATCTTTCCCCCCTCCGAGCGAGGTGACTTTGGGCTTTTCAGCTCTTTGCCGTTATCGTTATGGTAATAGCGACGTCCTCCTGGAGGAGACTTGCTGATGAGATCCCGCTGACAGGAGGTCGCGTCGGCCCCGCCCCCCCCGCAGCTGATTAATATTCATGTTTTCTGTTGTTTTGATCTCACCGGTAATCACCTCTTCTGCCCACCCCCCCCACCCCCATCCTCCTCTCTTTCTCAGGGAAACGTCACTTTTTCCTGCGCGGAGCCCGTCTCCGTGGCAGTGACGTTCCTCGGGGCCCCGAGTTTCCTCCAGCTGCCGGGCCCCCCCCCCCCCCCCCCCCCCGGGCCTGCCCGTGGGGTTCCAGTTCAGGACCTGGGACCGGGCCGGCCTCCTGCTCACCTTCGGCCTCCCCCCGGAGGGAGGCGTGGTCTGGCTGTACCTGAGCCAGGCCAGGCTTCAGCTGCAGGTCCACAGGGGAGGCCGGACCCTGCTGGAACTCAGTACAGGTCAGACCTTTTTGGTTCAAGCCTATAAATGTCCAGATCAGCTCCCAATTGGTCAACTTAAACCCAGCAAGTTAGTTTCTACGGGTCATGTGTTTTCCAGACCATTTTGATCCAGTCTCGAATGGGAAGGGTACTGGATGACAAGTCCTTTAAAGCACTCTGGTACATTTTGAAACGGCTAATTTAGAGTCCATATTTAATGACCTCATAGTAAAAGATTGCATGAAAGTCTTTTAGTCTTCTTTGGTCCTTCGGTCACATATCAGTCAAAGCAGCAGATGGCAAAAGTGTATTTTTAAGCCAAGAGATGCCTCTAAAAAAAAAAAAGGAGGGTATAATGACACATTGATCTACCCTTCCCAAATAGACAAATGACACAGAGCTGCTATATTTAGAGTCAATTTGTGCCGTTATTGTACTCCTGTGTGTTGTTTCCACTTTGAGAAAGACGTGATTACGGGCTGCCTCCGGCTAGTAGTTCAGTCCACGTGTGGCCGGCAGTGGTCAGGATCCACTGCAGGACCTTTTTTTTACTCATGAATGGAAGCTGGAATTACTGAAATATCTGCGGCTCTTATCAATGAAAACTTGGTTGCAGGGTCCGCCCTTAACGACGGTCAGTGGCATTCGGTGGAGCTGACCTCGAGGCGGGGTCGACTGACCGTGTCCGTGGACAAAGAGGAGGCACAGGCCAGCCCATCGTTTCCAGTCACTGCAGAGAGTGACCTCTTCTTCGGAGGTAAGAGGGAGATCTGTCGGCCTTTTGGAAGCACAGTTGTGCTCTGTATGCTGACCGAGGGTCTTCTCCTCAGGTTGTCCCTCTCAGGCCGGCGGTCAGGAATGCAGAAACCCGTTCGAGGTCTTCCTGGGCTGCATGCGTCTGCTGACGGTGGACGGCCAGAGCAGAGACCTGATCCTGGTGCAGCAGAAGCAGCTGGGAAACTACAGCAACCTGCAGATCGACATGTGTGGCATTATAGACAGGTCGGTGTCAAACGACACTCACTCAGACTGTAGCTGAGATTTTTTTTTTTTTAATTCACCTCTTAAATCTCAGCCAGATCAACATCAGACAAGAAAAATTCCCCCACTTTTCTTTTTCTGATCAGCCACCAATGTGTTTTCATTTCCTGAACACTATAAATAGATTAAATCAACCATTTCTGATTTTTATTTATAATTATTTTGATGTATTATTTGATAAAGTGTAAGGTTTGAAGGCACAGTGACTCCTTAAAAACGGGACTAAGAGACAAAACTGAAGAATAAAGCAAAGACTAAATGAAAATAATGGAGGGATGCTCCATTTCCTCAACATCTATTAGCTAAAATTGTCTCTCTGAGCATGTTTCTCACCTCCGCTCACATTATGGGTGAGATGCTCGGAGAACAAATGACCCGAGGAATCAGGGATGCAGGAGGTGGACAACGGAGCGAGACCTTGGCCAGACCGCGGTTGTTATTCTGATATCATACTGTATTTTATGTAGAATTTTCCAGGTGGATGTAGCAGTGATACACGTGATGCCTTTTCCCACTTTCTTATGTTCTCGGGGTTGTGATAGGAGCAGGGTTCAGGCCCACATGGACCCATGCCCATCGGGTATGTAAGACCTAGACCAAGAGGTCTAGGTCCTACTAAGTTTGAGGGATGAGGTCATTTTAAGGAAATAAAAAAAAAAACAAGAGCAGGTTTTTGTGGCCATGACTGAATCAGGAGTTCCCTTAAAGTGTCCCAGGGATCCAAAACAGAAGATAGTTCTATATTTGATTCGTGAGACGGTTAAAAAAAAAGGAAGAACTGCTGGAAATGAATCCGTAATGCTTCTTTCTTGTTGTCAGGAGTGTTGGCTGAGTGGAGGCCTTTCATAAGCTGTCTCTTTCTAGAATAACCCATCCGTTCTATTTATTTGTAATATGGGGAAATAAAACACTGGGCGCAGTGAAAAAGGAGGCATAATAATATGATTAAAAGGTCATTTGACAGGTGAGATTTGTTTGGTCTGGAAGTGTTAAAAGCTCTCCTGTAACTGATTGCTTTGCCATACAACAATTTATTTATTTTTGGGGGGGGTAAAAAGCAGCGAGCAACATTTCCGTTGCCTTGAAAAGGTAATTTTTCTCTTTATTTTCTCCGCTGGCAGAGTAAATTGATTTGTGGAATGAAGCTGGGCGGCATTTTCAAGGCGGACCACCGTGGATCAGGCAGGCCAACGGCAGCCCGTTACTGCCGCTCATGAATAGATGATTAATGTCCAGCGGAGAGCAGAGCGCCGGGACGATTGTGTTCCGGCCGATATCCGTTTCCCCGGGCTTTGCTTTGCCGGCGATAAGTCGTGTTCAATACCCGAACGGAGGAATGTTGATAGGTAGCTATTAATGTTGTCGTCTGTGTAATCTGATGCAGCTCTGTTATGACATCCACCGTACACGGTTTCTAATCGTTTTAGACTGATTATTGAGCGTTAATATGACAGATCGGTCCAAAGATGTCATGCTTTTGTCCTATTCGTGACCACTGTAGCCTTTTTTTTTCTGAGCCGAGCTGGGTTTGCCTTCATGTTTCATTTCACACTGTGTGGAAAAAGGAGGAAAAAAACAAACAAACATCTGTGATTTGAGACTTTGAGACTTTCCTCATTATGTTTTTTCATTCCCTTCAATCTCTGGCTTTGGATGTGATCATAGCTGATTGGTTGCCGTGGAGGTTTTTGCCCAAATCCAACGTCCTTTCCTCCAGATTTAATACTACAAGGAGAATAAATAATGGAGGATTTGATTATTTGTTGACTTCTCTTAATCTTATTTATTTGAGAGTTTTTGGTTCTTTGGCAACAACAAAGATTTTTTTTGTGTGTTGTTTCTTTGGACTTTCATGCAATTTTCAGCACAATGTGATACAGAAGCACACATCTGCTGCTGGAGCTGGAATAGCCAGGCCTTCGTTCACCCCAAATATTGACCCAGCGGCAGCTGCTACACACTTTGATGTGATGCACGTCGACAATACAGCCAGTAAAATAGTGTCAGACCCCGACTCAAGACTCAAGGCAGGACTCAGTTGCAGAGATCTCTGCAAAAACTTTAAAAGAAACAAAGGCGCACTCACTCCCGGCTAGGAAAGCCAAGACCAAAATAATCACCCAATACGAGACAGACAAGGCTAGAAACAAACTAACAAGTAATAATCACTCTTGCGAGGTAGAACAAAAGTGTGGACAGAGTACAAATTAATAACGCTCGATAACAAGGATGCAAAGGCTACAAAGTACAAAATCAACTCACTTAGACGAGGAATAACACTGAAAAGTTCCAGGCTTGGGTTGAAGACGAGGTTAAATGTTCAGTACAAGGACGAAAACAAACTGGCACAAGACAAGGAGAAACTATCAAAATAAAACAGGAAATGACAACACAACCATGGAGACAAACACCAAAAAATCCCCCAGGCCTGACAAATAGATTGTAAATTAATTTTTATACCGACACTTTATCAAACAACTCACATCACTAAGTAAATAATTCTTTCTCATTGAAATCACAGCAGAGATTATTAATCGTATTAACCCTTTTTTGTGCTGAGTCCCAGGGTCTTTAAGTGTTTCCGCCTATCAAATAATCCCCGTTAAACCTCACATGGTGATGATTATGGCCGTGCGATCCGTTAGGAAACATTGACTATCGCACTTTAGAACAAATCTTCTCTGCACACGCTAATTGCAGCATAGTGCGAAAAAAAAAAAAACACCAAGCCTTTGTACATCTGTTAGAAGGGAGATGGTTTTAAACTGGGGGGGGGGGGGGCCTGCAGATGAGTGGAAAAGACAGGGAGCAGAACCAATCATTTGCTGTTTTAGTGTCACGCCAAATAGCAGCACAATTAATGAGACAATTATAGCAATTATAAACCTGCTGCCGGGGCCCCGGAGGGAGACATTAGGAGTCACACACACAGTCACCGGCCGCGTGTAAACACGAGCGCGCACGCCAAGTACCGAGGCCTCCGATTGGAGGAAGCTGCTCGACTGGTTTTAATTGAAACGCGGCCAACGCTTTTGCGTCGTTACTCGGCGGAATACGCTTCTTCTCTTCCGCAGATCTGTTTTTCTCATCGGGACAAACTTAAGAAAGAAAAAAATGTTTTTTCCAAGGCGAGACGGAGGGAGAAAAACACTGCATGGCCCCCGAAATGCAACCGCACTGATTGAATTTTGGGCTCGTGGGATATAGTGTGCCATAAAGTCAGGTGGAAAAATGGACTCCCTGACACCACTTCAATATGGAGGCCGTATTTCAGCGGGGTTATTACTGTATATACGTGCGCTTGTGGGTCGTGTTGCGTTTGGGTGTTTTAGTGTAAAGAGTAAAGAGTATTATTATTAGCCAGAGCAAACACGCCATTAGCGGGCTCAAATTGAGTCCAAATCCGCGGGGAGCTGGACTAAACACCCTGTGTCCTGCAGCAACACACCTCCCGCCTGACTTCACTCAGGTTACAGACTGCCTCTGTTTTGTTGCCTAACAATATTTGCCGCAGACTCACAGATGCTGTAGAATCTATTGATTTCCTTCCATATTTGATGCCTTAGCCTTCTGGGTGTCAGTCCTGTCCACGCTGGGCTTTTTTCCTCGCCTTCTTATGTGTTTCTCTCACCTCCTTTCTCCTTTTTAACTCCATAACCACATCACCATTCTCCTTTTCCAATCCATATCCTATCAACACATCTTTTTTCTTTCATTCTTCTCACTCTTTTCCACCTTTTGTCCTTTAATTTGTCTTCCCTTTGTCTGTTCTTGCCCCCAAAACATCTCATCTCTTGTTTTTCTTTGTCTCATTGCTTGTCTTGTTTCTTTACTTCGCACTTCCTGCTCCCCCCTTCTTTGCTCTGTTCTTTCGGCAAACTTTCAGAGGCTCTCAGGGATGCTCCCTCTTCACAGGATCGTCGCCACGACGGCGTTTTGAAGACGTGAACGGGCTCGGATGCTGAGCTCAGTGTGGTTTTGTGTGGCTTAATTGGCCATTTTGCTCGCATTGAATTGAAGCTGCTGGGCTGAAAGAGCCTCGAGTAATGTGTGCGGGATTGCTCCACAGGAAACTAAGGGGCTGAGAATGAATATTACACATGGGGGGAATCATCCAGCGAGGATGTTTGCAGTCAGACTGCTCCTCTGCTTGTTTTCTCACCTGTACATCGCCTCTCCCCAAAGGAAAATGGGATTCAGTCCAAAGGTTTTTATGGTGTTTTTTGTGAAGTGTGTGCAGTGGAGGAGTGGGTTCGGGTGTGAGTTTTCAATGAGAAAGGAAGCTTTTTTTCTCATTTACCATCTTACAGAGTCAAACTAAAGTGAGACGACTCAAATGAAACGTGCCCAAGCAGAACCGTGTCGTGGGATGTTTATTCATTTATCCTTTTTTTTTTTACTGAGGCAAAAAACGGACCAGAAACCTTCAGTTTGAGTGTGCAGACTGTTAGCTGGTCCTGTGTGTAGATAGACTTCATTAACACTTCGGATTACTATCTCATTCACAAACAAAGGCAGAGTGGACTTTAACTTCAAATCTGACAGATTTTCATCTTTGGTCAGATATGTGACGCTGTTTAGGAGTTTCTGTGGACATATCCACTGTGTAACATGTTGTAACCTCTCGTATTACTCTAATTTACAGCTTTGTTCTGTAACAGGTCACATTCTGCCACCAGCATTTTCCAGTAACTGGAAAAAAGTAACTGGAAAATCTGTAAAAGTAGACCAACGAGAGAGGTTTTTGCCATTGCTTCATTGCAAATACTTAACAGGACCCCTTAAACAGGAGGCACTGTGGATAATAATGTAGGTAAAGAATCACAATGGAGCAGGCTGACAGGCTGCTGAGCCGAGGATTTTATTTAAAGAGCGGCCTGAGGAGCGTTCGGTCACCTGTTTGCTCCCACACTGTCCTGGTTACGACAATCCAGAGAAAAATTCATCTTTCTAATACAATCCTTTCATTTCTAAAGTAAAGTAAACACTATGTATTTATGTGCCTACTCTGAAAGAGATTTTAAAATAGGGAAAATATCCACACCGACCGAATAATATATATTTTAAATCTTTATCAAATCCTAGTTTGCCCACTGGTCTGCATAAGTAAAGTAAAAATAAGTAAAAAATGAACAGAAGATAATGTAATTTAAACAGTTTACTCTTACAAAAGGACATTTCTGCACACATATAACTGTATTCAGCCACGGGGACACTCCATGTTTTGCCTACCTTTCATCCAAAATGAGTGTCTTCTCTTCATTATCTGTGCAAAAGGAAGTCATCTCTTTTTATTAACTTTTGCTAGCATCTAATAGCCCCAACCACTTAAAGCAGGCGAAATGCAGACTGGCAGCTGGACTCTACATCCACCACTAACATCAATAATAGATATTTTTACCCCGTGTATTCTCCAAGCAGAAAATTCTGTCTTCTGGTGACCGAAGGCTGGTTTTTCTACTCTTATGCAAAGCGTGACGGGTCTTGGCTGTAATCATTGTTTACTCTACATATTCTTATGGTAATAATCCGAGCCAGAAATGTCCCCCCTCTAGTAACTCCGACCAAAGTCTGCAGCTCTCTTCATATTCAGATCTTGCTACGGAGAGTTTTATTCAAATTTGATTCCCAGCTTCTAAAGAGCTTCTTATTGCTAAGACCATCTGCATCAGCAGGCTTCTTTATTGCCAGTCTGACAAGAAGTGAATAACAGATGCTCAAAATCTTATTAGAAGAACAAAAAAAAATGCAGTTCCACTCTCCAGGAGATCATTTAGCAGTTTAACTTTTCAGGAAACCAAAACTACACACTGTGAATGCATTATGTATCAATACATTCAGTGTGTGTATTTTTTAATGCATACACTGGTATGTACAGCAAAGTCATGGAAAAACCATAATAGGGCATTTTCTATCCAAATACTGACCAAGTATTTTACTTCTTAAACTAAAGCAAGCAGCTTTGGTGCATATGCAGACATGCAGAGAAATGGGGACATGTGGTTAAATTACCATCTTTGAATGGACCAACCTGTAATAACGGTCCTCTAGCTGAGCATTTTCTGTGAAAAACACTGTGTAAAACTGAGTACGTGTTCTGTTTTTTATTAAGTGAATGAATAAAAGTGTTTTCCTGTTTTCAACAGAGAAAAAAAGGGAGCACAAGAAATGTTTCCACTTCATAAACCTCCCACAAATGGAAAAACAAGGCCTTGTCCTAGTATAAAAAATGAAATCCTCTTGTCTATTCACTCTCCCCCTCCCACGCACGTTTGACCATGAAACAAATAACCTGTTTTAATAAATAAACATAATTGGAAAGGCTTTTATTCCATTATCATGGAATTATTTCATGAGTGCTAATTTGGTGAGTTGAAAACATTTATCATTATGAATGGATTATCGTATTTTATGTAAGATCAATTCAGAATGGTCGAATGTTTGGTCCTGATGAGAGGTGTCTGAATCCCAAAACCCTCCTAGCTACCTCACTTTCTGGATGAATGACAGAAGAACTAGTTCCTCATCAGCAGCTCATATTTTTATGAGAACAGATGAAAAGTGTTTTTCTCCTTTCAACACATTTTCTACCAGTGAGAATCTACTGTATGTTTTTCCGATTCAGCCAAAATAAACAAATTGACCATTTTCTTCTTTAAATAAATAATCTTTTTCCTTCCTGGGTGCAAAAACAACAAACACACAGCTTTGTGTTAGATATCTGTCACTTGTCGACAGCAGAAATACATTAAAGTCCAGCCTGTGCGCCCAATCTGGACGATGTTTTTAAAATAAAAACGTCCTTAAGAGTTTTCTCCTTCTTCTTTTCTCTGTCTCAGGTGTTCTCCCAGTCGCTGTGAGCACGGCGGCCTCTGCTCTCAGTCCTGGACCGGCTTCAGCTGCAACTGCTCCCACAGCGGCTACACGGGCGCCACCTGCCACAGCCGTGAGTCGCACCTCCGCGAACATCTGCAAACATCTGCCCACAGCTGCCCGGACAGGGTTCCTGCATTAGGCACCGGCAGAAACAGACACAGAACAGGTCCAGGTCCAGGTCCAGGTCCTCAGAGGACGATGCTGCTTTGGTTTAATGGAAACAAGCAGCTTGTTCCCGGGGGTGTCCGGCTTTGGCTGTCCTGCAGGTTTTAGGTGTTTCCCTGCCTTGTTTCTTATTAATAGATTAGTTTTTAAAGGTTGTTAAGCTATGCACAAGCTAACTGATGTGGATCAGGTGCATACAGGAACTAAAGCCTGCTGGACTGCAGCCCTGAAGACTGATTCTGAAATCTTTTGGACTAATCTGATGGACATATGCAGATCAAAAATAGTAGTTTTTAGTTTTTTACAGCGCAAAGATGGTTTATCTTTGGCATCATCTGTGTGTAATTTCTATCCAAATGCCCGCCTCCGCCCTTTGTGTCGGAGGCCGAGTGATCCGAAAGAGGTTAATGGAACTAAAAATGCCAAATACTAAATAAATAAATAAATAAGACAGCCCTGACAGATAGCGCTCCAAGGGGGGGAAGACGCTAGTTCCGCACTGATTCCTATATAAGCCGTCCTCAGCGCTGGAAAAGCGGAGGGCTTCTATGTTTATCTGCGAGCTCTGGGGAGTTCCGATGAGTGATGGGTCTTTTTCTGGGTTCAGGAAAAATGGAAACGGGGTGAGCTAAGTGTGTCAGCTTTAAAATACAGGTTAGAGGTGGTGGGCTGAAGAGCAGGGGGGGGGGGGGGGGGGGGGGGGGGGGGGGGGGGGGGGGGGGGGGGGGGAGAGGAGGACTGATGGGGGCGTAGAGAAGCAGGCCGGCTCGATAAAAGTTTGATTTAGCGAGCCTGTGCGTTTTTGTTTTTGCGTCCTTGGCAGCAGAAAAAACGAAGCCTCAGATTCTTTTCTTTTGATCGCATCGATTCAGCGGTGATACATACACATGAGGGGGGGGGCCCGTAATCCTCCCCGGCACACCGACGCTGATCTCATTATTTTTCCCTCCCAGCTGTGTACGAGCAGTCCTGCGAGGCCTACAAACACAACGGGAACTCGTCGGGGTTTTTCTACATCGACGTGGACGGCAGCGGCCCAATAGGACCACAGCTGGTGTTCTGCAACATGACAGGTGACCAACTACCCCCCCCCCCATAATCTTCATCCCTGTGTTTTACACGATTGCAATTTCCATAACTCCTTTCGTCCTGATCCTCTCTCTCTTCTTCTCCACCTCTGCCGATCGCATCTGTGTCATTACGATGTTACACTTTGTTGTGACTTGCTCTCCAATATGGCGTACAGCCTTCTGTCATCACACGCTGAAGCAGAAGATGTTTGGTTTCGGCATTTGGTCGCATCTGCTCGAACATCTTGAGAGGAGGGGACAAATATGTGAAGTGTTTCTATCCACAGGGCTCAATTTGACTTGTTTGTTTGGATTTTCTTTAAAGCTCACGAACACGGGAAATGCATTGATTTGCCTGAAAATTACATGTGAGAGACCTGGATGAGCAGAAAAAAATGGTCAAATATGAGTTCAAGAATCCTAAACGGGGGGGTCCCAAAGTGAGATAGAAGTCTAGCTTCCTTTGACAGCGTGGGTGAATTTAATCACGGCAATAACTGCCAATTTGTCTCCACCAACATGGAAATCCTGAGGACCACTGGCCTCCTGTTAATTACTCACACATAAACGATACACAATGCGAGCTGTAGTACAACAGCACAACCGCACATCTGAGAGGATCCCGCTGGTAGGAAATTGGAATAGTCTGTTAATTGTGATAGCTCCTTTGTTTCTCCTTGTGGATATCAGTTTAGATTAATAATACAGATCAGCACGAAAAGACTGACTTTATTATCACAGGTTTTAGATATTTATTTAAGTGGAAACGGTCTATACCTAGCTTTTTAAAGCTGATAACTTAAAGGAATAACACAACTCTTTGGCAGAGTTCATGTTATTTGTTCTAGCACATTAAAGAAAGTAGAAAAGTTCATTGTTGGAGTTCCAGAGAGAAAAGAGCATCTGTGCTCTAATCTGATCACATGACCCAGCACATATTTCTAGGGCGTCCCCATCACACGGTCTTGTTTCGATCTGCCATCACAGAGCAGAACACGTGGATGGAGGTCCGGCACAACAACACCGAGGTGACCAGACTTCGGCCGTCTCCCGGCGTTGACCAGCACTGGGTCCACTTGGGCTACCCGTCGGGGGAGGAGCAGCTGGCGGCCGCCATCGGCCAGTCGGCGCACTGCGAGCAGGAGCTGACCTACCACTGCAGCAAGTCCCGCCTCCTCAACACTCCAGGTGAAGTCTTTTTAAAAAAAAAAAAAAAAATCTGATTCATTTATGTGGGACGTTTCCAGAAAAACACGTAGTCGGAAATGTTTACCAATTTGAAGTGTGTTCATTTGTTTGCCCTTTGAGCTAAAATCCTCTTTCTGGACCTTACTAATCGTGTAAATAGGATTCACACACAGTAAAAGTGGTAACACCAAGCTGAATTCTCGGCAAGGCGTTTACTTTAGGCTGATTTTTCTGTACTTTTGGTATTATCTGGCTTGATGGCAGGAGTCATAGCATTGGTTAATCTGGGAAAATGATGTATTGAAGGTGCTCTTGATCAAGAAATGAAAAAAACTGAAACAGGTGATTGCATGAAACGCACAAGGCCGAGGGTGCTGAAAGGCGGGCTGTACTGAGTGTGTGGCTGTGTTCCAGAGGGCTCCCCGTTCAGCTGGTGGCTCGGCGGTCCCAGTCCCGGCCGGGTCCAGACCTACTGGGGGGGAGCTCACCCGGGCAGCCGGCAGTGTGCCTGCGGCCTGCGGGGCGACTGCGTGGACCCCCAGCACTACTGCAACTGCGACGCCGACCGCCTGGAGTGGTACGGAGCTCTGCTTTTACCAATACGCACCAGTCTCGGTCTGTTTTCAGGACCCACTGGGTGTCAGAGGTCGATGCGTGAACTGTGTGTGCGCGGTTTGATTGTCATCCCATCATCTTCTTCCTTCCACTGTAAAAAAAACTCCTTGTGTAAGCCGGTATCTCAGACTTCACCGTTAAGGTTAGACGATGTGTTTAAAAAAAAAATTATACCGCCAACCGGTGCAGGGCGCAATTTTGTTCAGCATAGCACAGTACTCAGATTTCAGTTCTGCTGCCATAATGCTGAACAGGACAAGGTTGAAAAAAAAAGAAAAAAAGAAGGAATTGTCAGTCAGATCTGGAAACATCAGATTAGCTTAAACCATGCAGGAAGGTTTCTTACAGAGCAACTGTAAAATGTGGAGGGCTTCTCGCAATGTGGACTCACAGACTAAGCAAGACTATGCAAAATAAGTAATTTGCATAGATAGATAGATAGATAGATAGATAGATAGATAGATAGATAGATA